TCTGTGCTAGGTGCTTCACTCTGCACCAGGAAAGGAGAGGGAAATAGGGGAAGAGGCCTCGTTGAGGAGCAAGCCTGGGGTGGAGGGTAGACACATAAGGGCGGCATTATGAGGCATGAGACACGTGCTCTGGGGACCCATACGTGGGATAAATTGAGACTTGGAGGAAGGAAGATTAATTTTGCTGACAGAGGAGGGGAAAGCTTAGAGCAGGGTTTTGGTCCATGGAAAACTCTGAGGGAGCACACGTCCAGGGGTCATTCGGGTCACTCAGTTGAGGCCAGTCCGTTTGCAAGGATGGCCACCACAGGGATAGAGGCTGTGCGAGGCCTGTGTTCTGCCAGGACCCCTTTTGTTCCTAGTCAAAAAGGGGCGCTACCACAGGAAAAGAGGGGAGAAGGCGTGGGGTTGCCTTTGTCATCTGCATTTCCTATCAGAGCATGGCTTCCCCTGAGCCGCTGACATAGCAGCGCTCCTGATGCCACCGATGGGAGAGGCCTCAGCTCAGCTACCTGATTTGAAACGGAAAAAGTAAGGTGTCTACCAGATGCAGTCTAAAGAGTTAAGCCCTGAGGTTTAACTGGAATAAATTAGCTAGATGTCAAAGGAAACAGTGTGGGTTCCCACTGCTTTTGCTGCTGTAGGAATTGACAGAGAAAGTAGGCGCCCTCCCTGTGGCTAAAGGGCAGAAACCTTGTCTCTGAAAGTGACCCGCACCCACTGCTGACTCACTTTGCATCTTATAAAGAAAAATGTGCGCGAGAGATACAGGTTTGGGTCCGCGCATCAATTTATCATTTTCCTGCTTGGTAAATATTTTCATGTTTTTTAGTCTTTTGCCCAAAACTTAAGACCCCCCCCCCGCTTAGAAAAGGGATTCAATCATAATGTGAAGCTTTATAAATCTCAAATGTTGCTTCTCTGATCATGAGTGATGGAACTTCTGCCATTTAAATACAAGATTATCTGCCTTCTATTTGTAAATAAAATCAGCTGTACAATGAGATCAATGCTGGCTTTTCATTTTTCACCTGAGATCTATTGTCTGATGGACTGGTTTCCTGACAAGGCTGACGCGTGTGAGACCTATTGCTTTTCTGGGGCGCGTGTTTCCAGCACTCAGCAGTCAGTGGCAGCCGCCCGGCTTTCTCCCACGTAGTTATGATCGATTCCGCATGATCCTGACGTGAGCAGGCGCTGAGGGACCCCAGTCACCACCATCAGGGGTTCTGGGGAGGTCTGCTGTAATTCCTTTAGGTCAGGCCATCCCCGGTGACCCCACACGAGCTCCTCGGGGCTTATTAGCTTATATAAATACTACGGCCATTTTAAGTTTGGATAATGTGACGATAGGAGCTGATTTAAAATCAAGAGGAAAAACGGACCAGGCCGGCAGCTCCCTCAGCACCTGGACCTGTCCATCCCTGACTGCTGGCTGCTCCGTCTCAGCTCACGTCCCAGCCTCTCTGCGCCCTCGCAGCTGCGAGAGCTGTCTTCCCTGCACAGCCTTTTCCTCACCTGCCTCACTGCCCTGCTGGAAAACCACTGAAAACCTCACGTGTGGTATTGTCAAGTGCGCGCTCTCAGCCTGGCCTTCACCAGGTCTTCCCTGCATTTTAGGAGGTTCAGGTTGATTCATCAAGTTGCAGGAACACCATGCACTTGCCAGAGAGGCTTCAGCACGTCAGAGTTGCGGGGCCGCGATTGCAGTGGCTTCCTCATGAGGAATGACAGGACTTCTTGTGACTGGGGGGGGTCCCGTTGCGGTGAGCCCCTCCCTACCTTGGTTCATTTTTGAGAAACCGTCTGCCAATACCCATCTTTGATTAAGCAGTTTCCCTCTTAGTACTTCTTTCAGGCACAAATGGTATTTCCTGAAAAATGCACCCAGTTCAGCTCACAGGTCAAACATGCACCAAGAGCTTTGCTTGAAGAAGTCACCGTTTTGGGCGCACATCTCATGGACTTGATGTGTTCTTCCCATTTGCCACAGAGAACACTGGAAAGCTGTTTGCTCAAGAGTTGTGATTTAATGCAGTATCAGTCATAGAGTTGGGAACATTTCCTACATTGCCAAGGGCATCCTTCAGCGAAGTGCCTTTTTTTTAACCCTGAGCACCTGCCATTAAGGAAACATTTCGGTGCCTCTGCCTTGACTCTTGCCAGCATGCCAGCACGTTGACTCACCCCTATCTCTGTCCCATCAGTGCAGATGTCAGCACCGTGACAGAGGTCAGTAATGTCTCAGTATTATTCTGGAAGCAATTTCGATGTCATAGACCACTCAGGAGGGTCTCAGGGACCCAGCAGTTGGCTGACCACCCATGGAAAACCGCTGCCCTAGAGGGTTGCTGTCACAGCACAGCCCCAAAGATGAGCTCACAGCAGACAAAGCACAAACAGAGGCCTGTGTGCACCAGGAGTCGGCAGTAGCTGGCGCCGTGTAGGGGGAGCTATGGCCCAGGGACCTGAGATCCTGGGACACCGATGTGAAAGGAACACAAAAGGGTTTAAGGAGAAAGGAGGGGTTTGACACGAAGAAAAAGACTCTGAAAAAAGGAACCAAACAGAACTTCTAGCAACCGAAATTGCAGCCGCTGAGATTTAAAATTCATTAGACACAGCGGAAGAGAGAATTAGTTAAAATAGAATGAGAAAATTACTGAGTAGGCAGCACAGAGAGATGATAAAAGTATGAAAGTGAGGTTAGAACATGAGAGAATGAAAAACAGGTCCAGGAAGAGAAGCACTCATGAAGGTGCTGGCCCAGACTTTTCCAGCACTGATGAATGACATTGTTACTTGTATTCAATAAACAAAACAAGGCTCAGGAAAGAGGAATTAACATATCACACACAGAGACATGAGAGTGAAATCACTAAATATGAGAGAGAAGAGAAAATCTCATCGGAAAGGCCAATGACCTACAACTAAAACGTTTAGATGGACGATTAGATGGAGAACAGACTGCAAGGGGAACAACAGGCCAGAATAAAATGGGTAGTGTTTGGTGTCTGAAGAAAAATAGCTGTCAAGCCAGACCAGATTTAGAAAGAGAACCCAGCTATGTGCTACTTGTAAGACTCTCGCCTAAAACATTACAAAGAGGCACAAAGGAAAAACGCAACAGATAAATACTAACTAAAATAGTCATTATGTAGCTATGTACTCTCATGTAGCTAGCTAGCTATTAGATGAAATAGATTTCAAGGTAAAAGGTGTTATTAGGGATAAAGAGTATCATTGCCTAGTGGCAGTGGATACATTTACAGGGAGGTACGCCCTGAACGCGCCTCTGACCAGCACAGAAGGGTGTCTGGTGAGTGTGGGGGCGGGGCGGGGAGAGGGAGGGTGACAGCAGTCTGGTGGAATGACTCGAAGCCATTGTCAATGGCAGGCACGATTCTGAGTTCTTTGGGTGTGTGAACGTGTCTGTATTACCTCGGTTTCCCCACAACACGTCCGCCTGTAAGGTGTT